CTCTCTTTTTATTTAAAATTTCCTTGTTGTAAATAGAAACAGCACCCATCCAACCAAAGAATCTTGATCATCCTACATTCAGGAGCGTCTCTGGATTAAAATGCATCTGTAACAGATAATCTAAGCACACCAGGAGCTGGGACTCCTGCTGTCTCCTGCACACAGGGAGAACAGTAAGAGGCAGACTTGCAGGTGTGGCTGATTGAGCTTGAACTTCCTTCTGCAGGTTTGGCAACTCATCAGTCAAATATAGTATCTTTTGGCTCATCTATATATGTGAGAATCTGATAGGGTTTAAGTTCAATTGATAGGGTATAAAACAGAGAAGAGGAGACACTATTTATTTAGAAGGAAGATAAGCAGAATTAACAAATGGAAGAAAGAAGCAGCTGATCTATATTTTAGGGACAGGAATATATCAGTAATGCAAATGCAAAAACCATTCCAACTCCCCTTTAAATTGTACTCTATCCAAATCTATTTGTCATGAAAGAGTTACCTGCTCTTAATAGAAAAAGTGCTTTGATATATTTTTTATGAATCTAGCTTCTCCAGAGCTAAGATAACTGGATAGCTGATCACAACACAATCTTGAATTAATTATTTTACTTCTGTCTCCAGAATGATGTCCTATAAAAAAGGAAAGCTGAAAATATGAAGATGTATTAATTTCACACACAAAAAAAAACCTATATAACAAAAGTCTTAAGGAGGAATATTTTTCTTTTCTTTCATAGTACTGCAAAGGACAACCAAACAGTTAAAAAAGGTTAAAAAATCCCTTTTGAGAAAACATTTTTTCTTGGTTTAAATGAGATATTCAGTAAAGGAGAAAAGAATTAATAATGAAAACAATAGGTGCCATTCAAAAAACAGTTGGAGCTCTATTTGTTTTTTTCCCCACCTGGAAAAAAATAAATGGCCAGAATAATTTAAACCAAGTAGTATAACTTTTTAAGATTTTTACCTATTTTCATTTTTATTTTTATTGTTTCTAGAAAATAAATTCTTAAAGAATTCCATAATCTATATGGGAATAAAAAGAGAATAATTAGATATTAAAAATCTTTTACCAAATACATTAACTATGTAGTCTATATATTAATGTATTATACAGATTGTAAGGATGCAGGAATTTTTACTTCATTTTTCTCTTTGGTACCCTACAAAATACTCATTCGTGTAGACTGTGTTTGAATCGTGGTTATATTTTGCAGCAATATTGATAAATATTGGTGGTTTTTTTTTCTTATAATTTACAGTTTTTTCTTACAGTTTTTTCTGTTGCATTTTACGTAAACCAAAAGTAGGACCTTACAGTGAACCTTACAGAAAAAGACTAATACTAAATTTAATATAAGAAATATAGTTATTGTCTGATTTATTATCTAATGTCTCATTATTATTCTTGTCTCATTTTTATATGTTTTCTTAATACTTTAATGAAACAGCATCTGGATTTTGACCTTTAAATAAATATTACTCCTTAGTTCTGTAGGATAGAAAGTCCAGATACATGTGACTTAGCAGCTCGAAATTAACTTTAAAAGGAACATTATATTAGTATGATAAATTAATTAAGTGAAAGAAAAGGTAATGTACTCAAACATTGTCAATAGTGTAAATAAACTAGATAACATTTGTAATAATGTGAATAATTTTTAGAGAGAGGAGATTAGACAGTGGGTTTGCAGTGCTCCTGATGAAGACTTTCCTGCTTTGTTTTATATAAACACGGATGCCATTTCAGTGGAACATCTCCATCTCTGTTCTTCCCAGTCCACATGTAAACAGCATGTTCCAGTCAGATCTCAGGGCTTCTGTTTCCTTAATGTGACTGTCATGTGTACTATGTTGCCTGGACTAGTCACACAGTAGTCCCTTCTGAAATCCTTTAAGAAGCATGTGAAGACACGAGGGTTTCTCCTTAGCATTATAGTTCCTAATAAAACAAAAATGTATTAACAGGGTCCAAAATAAAGCCACATCCAACTCTTACTCTCTAGGAGTTTGTTTCTTTCCAGGTTAATGTCTCCGCCCTGTAATCAAACTGAGTCAAATAAAGATATTTGTCTATATAATGCCTATTCAGCTGTATTTCCATTATTTCCTGACATGCAATCCCAGTTTAAAAGTATTAATTGTAGACCAGAACTTCATGGTACAGGTCTTCCACTCTTAGCTTCTCTTCTTGGTCCATAAGACATGGAGGTGGGAAACATGGTTTCCAATTTATGCATTTTTCTTCTACCTCCTGCACAGGAAAAATTCATTGTCCTGGTAGCCCAGGAGATAAGTGAATACACAGGGTAAATGGAAAGATAATGTCTTTCAAAAGACTGGTTGTGTTTGAATGTTAAACATCTGATAGGTCATAAGTGGGTGTTGTGATTTGATCTCTGGTACAAGGGTGTTGGCTCAAGACAGCAATTTGCTTGATAAGTGTGGGCTTCAGGACTTCCTCTTAAATGAGTGCCATAAGAGAAGTAGCAGTTAAACCTCCCATCTATTTTCCATTCAAATACAGGTTGAGAATACTCCTGTTTATCACACCAACACCGAGGATATTTTTAAGCTTTTCTAAATTATCTATACTATACTCCTTTTTGCACATTTACGGAAAGAAGACATTACAAAGGAAAGTCATATGTCCTTCCTGTTTCATCTCAACATTTCTTGGGGCAAAAGCAAATCTTACAAGTAAAAAGCATCTTCCAGATATAATTGCCTAGAGAACAATTTAAATTCATATGCTTGGTCAGTGGTCAACAGAATATGCTTCACTACCACCACAGAAGATATTAGTGTATATTAAGAAGAAAAATGAGACAGTGATTCTGGCACGTCTTTGTGAAGTGTTTTAAGGTCAGTAGTTTGAGACAACAAAATCAATTAAAATAACACAATGGTTTTTTTATGGTCAGTATTATCTGTGCAAAATAAAAGGGTGATAAACATAGCCTTGCTCCAGTTTTTAAAAGTGAAAACTTTACTGATTACAGTGTGATGTTTTTGGGGTACACCTTGAGTAGCTCAGCAGGATATTAGATGTAGATATCTTGCACTTACTCACTGAAAGCTATGACTTATGTTCAGAGGTCAGTGGGTCTTTTAAGTATAACTAACTCTGAATTTCTAATTGATTTCCTTAGCAAATAGGATAGGATTTATCTAGGTTCCAGCTTCATTTTTATCCAAGTTGAATTGAACTCTGCAAATGTCTCTGCATTAACTGTTTTAAAACTACTACATTAAAACTCACGGTGGTCTAAATGAAGAGAGAAAGAGGATCACAACATATTTAGAGTATTCAGCTGTAGAGACAAAAGAGCAAGCTAAGTTTATATGTCATATGTTAATTATATATGCATGAATGTAATGTACATGGGCACCCATCTGCATAGAAACAATAGTATCAGTAGAATTCATATGAAGGAAATACTGTATTTGATTTTACGTATTTTCATATTTTATTTTTCATTTTTAGTTTAAAAAAAAAGATAAAAAAAAAAAAAAAAGAAAAATTCTACTGCTTATATCATTGTTGTGCCATAATAGATTACTTAAACTTTAAGTAGCCTATTTCATTCTATATGGCTCCTCTTCAGCACAGAGTTTCTGATTCATCAATCCCTAGAAAGAGATCTATTGACTGGTTGGTGTGTTCTGGCTTTCTCAGAAAGGCAATATATCATAAAATTAAATCTCTGGGTCATCCTAGTATGTATGGAATTCTGTGTAAATCAAAGTGTGTGCCTGAGTAGTTTGCTGAACTGAGTCCTAAAAGAAGCAGGACAGTCATGGAAATTACTGTATGTTATTATATCATTAAATATAACTTGCTGCTGATTGTGCAGGAGTGGACTGCGTTAAGGCCATCCCCAATCCTTCATATCCAAACAGTTTAGTTTTTCCTTTGTGTAGATAGAAAGCAGGTTTTTATATGCTTTTATAAAATATTATATGACGTGATATATATATTATGGAACAAATTGGAATGTCCTGAGAATTCCAGCTACCTACAATATAATCCCATATTATAATCCTAATATTACCTCAATAGTTATAGAGATCTTAGTCCTGAGGGTCTCTGGCAACCAGGGCTTTCAGGATTCAGTCTTTAGACAGGGCCAGTCATATGCTCATGATTATTAATGGCACTTCTCAGATGCATTAAATGCACTTGCCTTCATGCCTCAATGCACAGCCAAAGCGTAATATCAGTCACCAAAACCATTCAGGCTGCTATTCATTATTGTTTAATTAAACAACATTCATAATTTTAAAGACTATTTCAAGTATAAACATGGCCTGGTATCTAAGCTCTATTTAACCTTAGGAAGAAAGTACAAATGTTGAGGGAGAAATGAAATTGAAACATGAGGAAAACAATTTATGCAAATAGTACTTCACTACTTTTTTTTTTTTCTTTTCTCCTTCCAAATTTAGGTTGAAAAAATCATGAGCTAAGGGAACAGTCCACCAAGAACAGTTTTTAAATCCTCAACCCTCAGCCATGATAAGTGAGAGGACACTGATTACAGAATTTATTTCAAAAAATCCATTTGCATCGTCTCTGGAGATATATAGAGGTCTAGCTAATTGCTCTGAGATATCTGAGCCAGAAGCCCCCTTCAGCAACAGGGACACTATCCCAGAAATTTAGACAATCTTTAGCTTGAAACTATTTGCTAGAAAAGCTCTGTGGAAGTGTCATTGTGGTAAGTAAAAATCACTCTGTTTCATAGTACCAGCACACCACTTCTGAATCGTTGTGACTTAAACACCACCTATGGTCTGTGCTATCCTTTTAAGGAGAGGCAAATTTATTTCTTTAATATTTTGAGGAAATGTAATAGAAAAGACTAGATCATTTCCTTTTGCTAAGTTGGGTCAGACTGGAGAGCTTTTGAAAAGCCTACTCCAAGCCAGCGAAGCTGTTTCATTTTCCATTCTCTGAGTCACTCATATGCTTAGCTACATTGCATTGTGTTTTTCAGAGGATGCCTATAAAACTCAAGTCCGAATTGATGACGAACCAGCCTATTTGGACATTCTAGACACTGCTGGACAGGTGAGTAGTTTCCCAATATGAATCATTCAATCAGAGATAAACCTAAAGATTTTAACCTCAGATATAGGGGTCACAGAGCTATTCAAACATAGAGGGAGCAGTGATAGAATAACATTGAGGAATTAACAAAGGAGGTTAAAGGGGTGCTTCAGTGGTATAGTATAACTTCAAAATCTGACCAAAAGAGACACACAAATTTAATTCTCTAGAAGATGAAAATACCCATTTGTTTCTTTTTCTCTTGTATGCAGAAACATCTATCATAATCATGGAATGAATAAATGTTGTTGGCTTGTCCTATGTGTTTATCCTTCCTGGGTTTTTTATACATTAGAGGAATCTTCTGGTCTACTTGTAGGTCAAGAATTTTGTTACCATTCTTCTCCTCCCCACATTATATTTAAACATCAAATGCTCACCCATATAAGATCTTAATGCTAAAAGTAACACACAGTGTTCATATAATGTGTACATATGCATGTGCAAGCATCAGTCAGGGAATTAAGTTTCACATACTTAAAGCAAAAGAAGGGGTTAAATGCAAGAATTTCTTCTACCTGACTCAGTTCATCGACTTTCCATCTCTAAACATTTTTATTGTCTAATCAAAACATTGCAGCTGGTTGATCTTTTCCTGAGTTATGGTCAGGTTCTGTTTAAAGACTTTGATAGTTTCATAAGTTTCCACAGTCTGTGGACACCTTGTACAGGAATAAGTCAGTCAACAAGGACTGTAGATCCTTAAAACAAATAAAAAATAAATTAAAAAAAAAATTTAGTAAGTATAAGCCTGAAACCCTTGATCTTAGCTTCCCGAACATCTGAATGCACCTTAAGTGGGCACTGCAAATGGTAGTAAATGCAGTGTGCTGCCAGGAATTAGAATGGCATCAATTTATGAAATTTGGATGTAGTTCAGGGGGACAGTGGCATAAGTTTTACATGTGAATGAAATATAGGCTAATTTCAAAGTGAACTCAACCCAGTTTTAGGAATCAAATGATGCCCTGAATTATTCTGCCTTGACACAAAGTTATAGTCTCAGCAGTTAACCAGTGACTTGTGGCTGAGTTTACTGTGAAAGTGTTTGATTCCCTAGAAAATTTAACCTAAATTTCCAGGCATATCCCCAAAACTGTGAATGTAATTGACACAGAATTCATTATTGTAACAGGCCCAATAAGTTTATTGTGCATAATAGTCCTAACATAGCCTCAGCTATGGGAAAGAAGGAACATCGTAGTTGCTATTCAAGATATCTGAAAATACCTGTACTTCTGTTGAAGAAGGGGAAGCAACATCTTCGTTGCTCACTTGTGAAGTCTGAGCCTAGTAATGTCAATCCTATGTTGTCATTAGTACACAATCACTAGGGGTATTATATCTCCAGATGTTTAGTCTTGTAAGGTTTTATGTGGTAAGTACTTCCTGTGCTATCCTTCAATATAGTTCACTGTCTACATCTACTTAATTGTACTTCTGCATTCATTTTAGTCCTATTTTTTAGAGTTAAAATGCCAAAAAGTAAAAAACTTTCTTACCCAGAGCTGAAGAGATATGATGAATCAGTTTATGTGTTCAGCTTTTTGCTCACAAAAAGAGGAACAAAATGTTATGCAAGATTTCTTGCAATGTGTTGCAAAATACAAGAGGAATAATTTCTTTTACTTTTTTTTTTTCACCATTTGTTTTTGTTACTAGACAAAAGTTTGTCGTGTTGATGAAAAAAAGATAGCATCAGATGTTGATAATTTTCTTTCCTTTCTAGCCCCCACCAAAATCAAAGCCTCTATTTTTAATTTTTTTTTTTTTTTTTAAATCAGAACAAATGTGGTGGATTGATCCTTGCTGGACACCAGGTGCCACTAAAGCTTCTCTAACACTCCTCCCCCTCAGCTGGACAGAGGAGAGAAGATATAACAAGCGGCTCATGGGTTGAGATAAGGACTGGGATAAACTACTCACCAATTACTGTTATGGGCAAAACAGACTCAACTTGGGGAAATGAATTTATTACCGATCCAATCAGAATAGGGTAATGAGAATTAAAACCAAATCTTAAAAAATAGCTTCCACTTCCCCCCTCCCTTCTTCCTGGTCTTAACTTAACTCCTAATTTCTCTATTTCCTCCCCCCAACCGGTAAAGGATGGTGAGAAAATGGGGTTATGGTCAGTTCATCACTTGTTGTCTCTGCCTCTCATTCCTCCTCCATGGGAGGACTCCTCACACTCTTCCCTTGCTCCAGTGTGGGGTCCATCCCATGGGAGACAGTTGTCCATGAACTTGTCCCATGTGAGTTCTTCCCATGGGTTTCAGCTCTTCATGAACTATTCCAGCATGGGTCCTTCCCATGGGGTTCATTCCTTCAGGAACAGACTGCTCCAGCATGGGTCTCCCAAAGGGTCACAAGTCCTGCCAACAAACCTGCTCCAGTGTGGTCTCCTCTCTCCATGGAGTCACAGGTCCTGCCAGAAGCCTGCTCCAGCATGGGCTTCCCACAGGGTCACAGCCTCCTTCAGGCATCCACCTGCTCCATCATGGGATTCTCCATGGGCTGCAGGTGGAATCTGATCCACAATGGACCTCCATGGGCTGCAGGACACAGCCTGTCTCACCATGATCTTCATCACGGGCTGCAAGGGAATCTCTGCTCAGGTGCCTGGAGCACCTCTTGCACCTCCTTCTTCACTGACCTTGGTGTCTGCAGCAGTGTTTATCTCACATATTCTCACTCCTCTCTCCCACTGCTGCTGGTGTTGAACAGTTTTTTCTCCCCTTGTTATATACGTTATCCCAGACCACTGTCACTAATCGGTTTGGCCCTGGACAGCTGTGGGTCCACCCTGGAGTTGGCTAGTACTGGCTCTATTAGACATGGGGGAAGCTTCTGGCTGCTTCTCACAGAATTCATCCTTGTAGCTTCCCTACTATCAAAACCTTGCCACACAAACCCAATACAAGTATTTTTTTAAATGTTATTTTATTTCCTAGCATCTTATTTTAAAATGAAAAAAAAAAAAACAAAACAAAAAAACAAAAAAACCCCACAATTTTCAATCCCCTTGAAAGATAATTTTAGATTCAGGAAAAAGGAAAAAATATGCCTATGCACTGACATTTGAAGTAGCTGAAAATATTACATTTTCCAATTTAAACAAAGCTCACCTTTTGTCAATCATGTCCACTAATTAGCAAAAATTCTGCACAAACCTGTATTTTTACATGATTTTTGATCATATAAATAAGCTAGAACAAAACCTCATTATCAGTTTGGGGGGATTTATTGTAGATATTATGAATTTTATCAGAATTGACAGTTTTAATGTAAGAAAAGAAATCAGAATGATGCAAACAGTGAAAGCTAATGAGAACAATCGTAGAGAAAGGCTGGAGAATTTTAAGTTTTCTTTCAAGAAGGGACCAAATTATCCATAATATTAAAGGCCCATGGCATATAATGACCGCATAATGAAATGTAGTGTACAGATTTGGAACAGAGACCTGTGGCAGTAACACTACACCCTGCAAGATACATCAGCCCAGGACCTTGTACAGCCTGCACATAGTTATTCTACCTCGAGATGCAAGTTTAATTTATACAAGAAAATCTCTGCTTTGAATTTCCCTGTTCTGGCAGTGCAGACTATCATCACTGAAACATGTCTCAGTGTATCTGTACAAGGAAGCTTTTCCCACTTTTGTACACCTCTATTTGTTGGAGACTGTACATTTAAACGAACCTAGATTTAGCTGCTTATCTTTGCAGATGTGTTTGAATTTGTTGCCTATCTGTACTACACAGCTTCAGAATAAATCAAGACCTAATCCAACTCCCATTGAAGTCAACAGCTAAAATAGACTCTTTCCTCAGAAAGTGCTTAATGTTATTTTCATTGAAGTTCAGACTGAAATCCTACTGTGACTTTGGTGACTCAGAGTAAAAATCCAAAGTGCCCAGTTATGTTGATGTTGGTGTGTTCTGATTGTACCTCACAGGGTTTCATATTAAAACAGAGATGGTGTTAGAGCTTCCAAACCACGTAGTGGAAATCTGATTTATCTCTGGGTGTCCTCACAGACATAAATACTTCACCCTTAACTTTGAATAATGACCTTAATGACTTCAGAAGACCAAGGAGCTAAAATTGTAATTCTCCTCTATTTGTGAAACACAAGAATTCAATAGAGAAACAGACTGGAGTTAATTTATTTTGTTATTGTTCTAGAGAATATGTTTCAACAAATATGTTTTTCCTTTCCCTGCTGTATATATGCACTAATTGAACACTTCAACACTGACCAAGTTTTGTGATTTATTAATAATTAATATAATTCTTTAATTTCAAGTCCAGAGTTAAAAATCCACCTCTGATTTCATACCTTAAACTAGATAAAGTCTTTGGTATTTTAACTGATAGTTGCTGTATTGGATCACTAGAAACATAGATGGTGCTTCAGAAATACATTTCTGGTTCTCAAGTTTCTGAAGTTAAGAAACATTTAAACAAAGTGAAAACCAGAAACTTGAATAAACTAATAGTATTGCTCACCTAGTTACTGGTCTTCCTTTTCTTATGCATATACACAGACACCATTAAATACAACAGTTTGTTTCTCTCAGGAAGCAGATTGATGTTCCATGAACTCTGGATACATACCTTCTACATGATCAATTGTCCTCTAGCGGTCTTCCAATATTGTTTTCCCACTGAAGATACAACATGAGGCACATTCTTAATATACATAGGGCTAGTGTAAGTAGTTATGCTCCACTGAACTCACTATTCCTGCTTTTCACCACCTGCTACATCTGCCAGTAGGGTAGCCTGTCTTTACTCACCTCAGTCAACCTCAGACAGAATAAGGTTATGTTTACCTCTGAGAGTTTCAAGAACAGGTATTGCTGATATGGCTGCTTGTAGGCAAATTGACACAAACAGCACTCATTTGAGTATTTCTTACCTTGAAAATGTGACATGTAGCAAGAAGAAAAGGAAC